CCTCCTTACCCGGTCTGAGAGTTCTGGTGGGCGGCCCTCTCTTGGCAGGTTTACTGTGGTACCATGTTGGTGTAGATTCTCAGTCATCCAGGACATGGTAAATTCAAAAACGTTCCAGACAGTAACAACTGGAATTTATTTGTAACAGAAGACGTTTCGCTTCTCATCCGAGAAGCTTTCTCAATTCAAAGACAGAGCATGTGAGGTTCAGGTTATAAAGCTGAGATAAGATACACATACACATGCAGATTGACCTATCACACGTCACAGTAGGGGTTTGTTGTGGTAACATGTTCTTTCCATTTGATGATAATGGATTTGATGGTGCTCCAGGGGATCATCAGAGATTTGGATTATTATTATTTTTTTTATAACCCAACCCTGACTTGTACGTCTCAGCAACTTTGTCCCTGATTTGGTTGGAGATCTCCTTGGTCTTCATGGTGTTGCGTGGTTAGTGGTGCCTCTTGTGTAATGGTGTAATGGTGTTGCAGCCCCTGAGACATTTCAGAAAAGGTGTGTATGCACCGACAGATCATGTGATGCTCAAACTGCACACAGGTGGACTTCATTTCACCAAGCACGTGACTTCGGAAGGTAAGTGGTTGCACCAGAACATTTTAGGGGCTTCGTAGTAAACGGGTGAATACACATGCTGCATTTAACTTCACCAACTTCACAGTATTTTGTTCAGATGCATTTCACATTAAAAACACATTTAAACACAGCTTGTAATAAAACAAAATAATGAAAAGCCTTTCACAAGGAATATTGCAATAAGTAATGTTAGGAGAGAGGTTATTAATAACTCTCAGTTACTATCATAATACATTTGAGCTCAATATATGTAAAATTTACTGAGTCATCCACCTTATTCCTGGGGGTTCTGCTGTATAAATGAGTATGGTACAACTTCCTGTGAGACAGGAAGTAACAGTAAGCATTGGCCAACCATGGTAGTGGATGGACAGCAGTTTGTTTGAAAGTAATTTACATTCAGTTTAGCAGATAAAACTCTGTTTTTGTTTTGTTCACATTTATTTAACAACCATAGAGTTTACTAAAATAGCCGTGCTGAGTTCAGGTACCTGTTGTGTTCACAGCTGCAGAACAACCAGATCAAACTAAATCAGTGGCTACAACAACAGAGTTTTGAACATGGACCCAAAACAAAATCCTGTGAAAAGCAGTATAGTTTCCATCTCCTACCTACAAATGAGGAATTAAGAAGAATGTGGCTGAAAATGTGAACTGAAGAGACCACCCAAAACACTGTATATGAGCTCATTTCACTTTGTGGACAAACAGCCGATGGAGGAAAACCTGCTTCCTACTTTGTGTCTGGACTACAATAAACCACCGGAGAAGAGACGCCGGATCCTCAGAAAGATTGAAAACAGTGACGAGAATATCAGGTCTGATTTCAAGTGTATGGAGGACACAGCTTTATAGTATTTGTTCGTCTTCAGTATTATGATTTTCTCTGTAATTAACCCAAGCTCAGTGATGGAGGACTTGAGTTGAGCTTTACGGTAAATAAGACTGTGTTCCACCTCTTTTAACAAAACGTCACCGGCCTTATTACTGTGTAGATACTGATACACCTCAGAACTTTTCAGGTTGTTCGCCGTCAGAAGAACCGAGTCAGTGAAGCAGCTAAATATGCTAGTAGATGTAATCTGCAGCACTTCTTCAGCTCGTCCTCCACCCCTCGTCCTCAGCAGGCAGTGGTATGATTATATTGTCCTGTTTGAGCTCTGACAGCTGGTGTTCCTACATGTTTAAATTAAATCCACAATGCTCAGACAAACTCCATTTGGTTGCACTATTCACACATAAACAAACGCTGGTTCTGGTCCAAGCTGGAAGTCGTGCCCATAATTCAAGCAAAGCACCATGGGGGCTATGAATAAGGTGGACAGACGTTTTTGTGTTGGCTTATGTCAATTTGCTGTGGTGGCAATTCTGAGTTGGGTCGACGTCAAACGTTAATCAATTGTAGATGTACATCCAAAGTTGACTTTTTACAAGTTTCATTAAAATCTGTGATTCATGAGATATTTATGTAAGATAGACATGAACTCATAGACTAGAAAAGACATTATCACCCATCTTGGCCTTTCTGCAGCGAGCGGTAACGTGATAACTAGACAATTTTGCCGCTTGTAATTCAGAACTGTTTCTGCACTGTAACTTTTTCTCTAAGGCTTATTTTATACTCCACAGTTCTGACGGCCTGTGCTTTTAGGGAGCGAAACACAACTGTAGTTACCATGGTGACCCCAGCCACTGGCAGCAGCTTTACCGTTTCTTTTTTCCCCCTCTTATATAGTTTAAACATCAAAACATTTTTAGCTTAGATTCTTACTCAAGTAGGTCCAAAAGTACTGCTGAACTTCAGAGAAGTTGATGCATGTAGGAAGAAGTTGCATTGGAATATGAACAAAAACAAATACTTGTTTAGTTCCAATTAGCAATAGTATGCAAAAGAAATTGGAGCAGCAGCTGATCTGAAAGCTCAAACTGGAACGTTTCTGTGTCGCTGCAAATTGGTTCAACGCACCTTCATAACCTGGAGATGCAGTGCTGAGGAATAATGTAAAACGATGCGTTTAGGGGCAGTGAATAATTAAAAAGTGCGGTCCTAACCCAGCACAGAAGCAGCGCTGTGTAATTCAGCACAATTCATATGCAGTTTCATCTGAAAATTTCGCCTGCGGCAATGCCTCCAACTCAACCAGCCATCACCTCTGAACCAACCAGACGTTCTGACCGCAAGACCGACCAGTCGTCTCTGACACCGACCCGGCTCACACGCCTCATTTTAACAACGTACCTTTCTCCCCTTCAATCATCTGCCTCGGTCTGACGAGAGACGAGGTTAACTACAGCTTAAGCCTTACGTCCACGAGTCGCCAGGGCCAATTATATCAGCCCTGACAACTTTCCCCAACCTGAGCCCCGTGGAGTGGAAAACGCAGTTCCACTGGCTGCGTCGCCGGGCACAGAACAGCATGGAAGTGTCTGGAGCCTGAGCCAAGCACGGCCCAATTTGGCATGCGGAGGTCTGTGGAGAATAAGCCCGATGAAATATATATGTGATCTTCTTCAAACATGTATTGTTCCACACTGCTGGGGCTCGTCCGTCTCTGACAGCGTTTTCCAGGCTCGACAGAGCAAAAGTTTACAGACGCATCATGATGACGTTCATCTTTCCTACGCAGGCTTCTGAGAACTAAACTGCCTCTGTGTTACAATTTAAAACATGTAACATCTTCAGGTAATTTGTGTTTAAAGTTCACCCAATCATAAGTTTAATGTCCTTATAAAAAATAAGCTATAGCTTATTAAAAAGATGAGCCTTTCAGGTCCTACTGACCTCACAGTCCAGACATGTAGGACAGTACTGACCTCTGTCGGTCACACTGTGGAACTGCACAGAACATCATCTCAAAAAAATTAAAACGAGAAATTGAATTTCCTACAAAAACATTCAGTGTGAATGCTTTTTGCAAAATAACTTGCTGAAAAACAGCTAAAAACATGTTGAAATGTAGCTGAAATGGATGCACAAGTCTAAATTAGCAAAATAAAGCAGAAAGAACACATATTTGCAGAATTGGGTTTAAATAAGCAGAAATTAGCACAAAAATTGGGAAATTAGCTAAAAAATAAGCTGAAATTAACAAACAGTAGCTGAAAAAGGCATAAACTACAAGAAGGAAGCAGGAGTTGAAATGAGCTACAAGAATGTGGAATTAGCTGAAAAAGCTAAATTTAGCATGAAAGCAGATCAATAGTAGCAGAAATAAGCGGAAAAGAGCATAACAAGCTGAAATTAGCAGAATGGAGTTCAGTAGGCTAAAAGTAGCAGAAATCACCACGAAAAACTTGAATTAATCTGAAAACAGCTGAAACTTGCTCAACAAAAATTAGCTGAAATTTTTGAACAAGCTCAAATTAGCAGAAGAATGCACAATTAGGCTGAAAGAAGCAAAACTGAGCACAAAAAAGATGAATAAAGCAGAAAGAAGCTTAAATTACTAGAAGTGGAGAGAGCACATTTTTTGCTGAATTAAGCTGAATAAAGCAGAAATTAGCACAAAGTAAAAATTGTCTGAAAAATGAAAAATTCCAAAATTAGCTAAATACAACTGAAAAGTAGCTAAAATTAGCAGAAAGAAGCAGAAAGAGAACAAATGTGAATAATCTGAAATATCTAAAACGATCTTAAATCTGAAACAATCTGAAATAAATAGAAACAAGTACAAAAAGTCAAAACTATCTGAAAAAAGCTGAAATTAGCACAAAACAGCTGAACAGTAGCTAAAATAGCAGAAAGCTTAAATTTATTAGAAGGAAGTGGAGAGAGCACATTTCTGATGAATTAAAATGAATAAAGTTGAAATGAGTGCAAAAAATGTGGAATTAGGTGAAAAAGCTTAAATTAGCATTAAATAGCTGAATAGTAGCTGAAATGGTAGAAAAAGTTGTTGAAACTAGCAGAAATAAACTGAAAGAAGTTTAACAAGATGAAATGAGCAGAAAAAAGTTAGAAGAAACACAAAAAAGTTGAGGTTTGCTGAAAGACGCACAAAACAGCTGAAATTTGCAGAAAAAATGATTAAATTTGCAGAAGGAAGCTGAAAGAAGCTGAAGCAGAAAAAAATGTGAAAGGAGCAGTAAAAGGTTGTAAACACATCTAAAGATTTAAAGGATGTAAAATGAGCTCAATTCATTTTCTGTGAGAACAAATTGGCAGAAAAGGCTAAATATTTCAAAAAGCTAAAAGTTGTACAAATACCAAAAGTCACAGCAGGATTGTCCTGAAAGAGCTGAATGTTTTGATTTATGATTTGGTGAAATAGCTTGAAAACAATTTCCTGCAGGAATAAATAAAGTTCTATCTTTAAACTGAGGCGAGAATCGCGCCGAACAACGTAAAGAAGAAACATGGACGACAATGACAAGACTCCATAAACAGTCACATGTCAACACTGTTCTGTACATAGAGCCACTTATTTATTTCAGCTGAAAACAACGCTATCCCTGTTTGTCAAATCAGGCGTTACCACGGCAACGAGAACTGAAATGAGCAGGTGAGATACAATTTATTAACCAATGTTGTCGTTTATACAGAGAAGCCGGGGGGGGGGGTCAACGTTTCAGTGATGATGGTTCTGCTGGAACCGCAGTCCACAGTAGCCACACGTGCCCACTTTAGTGTCCTTATCCTGCACAGAATCAGAAAAGAGCTCGTTAGCATGGACGGGACTGTGCAAAAGTCTTGATCCACCCCTCGGGTCTATATTCCGTTTTTGAAAACTCAGAACTTTCATCTTTTGAAAAAGTCTCAAACAGTAGATGCACAGACACGCTGACGTTTGGAACTGAAGTTGCTGGGACTGAATCAAGGTTTGATGCCTTGTAAAATACTCACAATATTTACTTGACAAGTACATGTTGAAAAAAAAAAGTTTTTAGTACAGAAGTGTTAAGACAAGAAATAATGTGTATGACCTTGAATCTGAGTTGTTTAAATAAGACAAAACCCTCTTGAATGGGTCCAGCTTCAGTCTACAAACTGCAGGTAAGATCCTTACTGTAGTTATAACTCCAGAAGACACAACCGTCTACACCCAGCAACAAGAGCACACAGGGCATCTTTAAACTACGCGTGCAGGACCTTACCAAGTTTATATAAACTTTGGGGTGTCCAAGAGCTCCGCCACCTCCATCACAAGACACCACCCTGGTCTCAACGTGCTTCACGGGTTCTTCTGCCACGAGCATAATGGCAAAGTTCTTATTCACCTTCACAAAAACAAATTTTAAATTACGTTAATTCTCAAAAAGAACACACACAAAACGCCACAAAATAACTCCCAATTACCGGACGATTTATCGGCCCCGATTTCCTTAATTTTGAGAAATGGGCCAATACTTGCATAAGAAACCGATTTTACCAATTTTTTTTTGGTTTTAACCACAATCGTCTGAACTTCATTTATATTTCAGAGCACTACCTCATGGCCAGTTAAAACTAAGTTTCTAGGATATTGTTCAAGGGTATGTTTTACAACAAAATAATATTGGACAATCGACGGTGCGTTGTGACGTTATAACACCCGACAGTGTCGCTTATAAAACAAGATCGCAATCGGAAGGTCAGACTTTTTCGAAGTTGGGGATCGGCCAGAAAACTGCAATCGGTGCACCCCTACTCCCAATCCACTTCTACCCAAGCCTAAATCATTTTAAATTCAACTCAGTTTATTTATACAGCACCAAGTCACAACAGAAGTCGTCTCAGGGCGCTGAACAGAAACATTCATATATAAAATAATAATTTAACATTATGTATCTGAGGAGCAGACTGCTTTGAATTTAACTCCACCGCAGAACTCTCGACTTGAGCAAGCATGAAGGCGACAGTGGAAAGGAATTAAAGATGAATAGTATAAAGTTCTAGCTTTATGGAGGGCTTTTTTATACGTTAGCAGGCGATCTCTCCAAGATGAGTAACATTCTTCGACGTTAGTAGAGCGCCATTTTCTCCTGGTTTCTAGATGCCTGCTTTAAAGTACGTAACTCAGAACTGAACCAAGGAGCTAAATTCCTCTGATTGATTACTTTCTTTTTCAGCGGAGCAACTTTATCGAGTGAAGTCTGCAAAGAAGTTGTAAAATTATCAACTAGATCCAAATCACTGCTCTCTGATGCATGACTCCGCAAGACAGAGGAAGACGATGGAAGAAGATCTTTACATTTGGTTACAGCGTTTTCTGATGAGCACCCGCCGAGATGAAATTTACTCTCAGTGACTGTGTCGTCTGTTAATGTGAACTCAAAGGTTTTTAAAAAACGGTCGGACAGAACAGGATTTTGAGGAACTATTACTAAGTCGTTAATTTCGATGCCATAACCCAGAACCAGATCAAGAGTGTGATGAGAACGAGTAGATGCGTATGTTTTTTTTTTTATTATAGTTCAAATAAACTTCCACCATCTAAAAGTAGCATTAAATAACTCGTCTTTACATGATGTAGAAGTGTGCGCTGGTTTTAGTAAGAGAATCAGGACCTTGGTTTCACAACGTGACCTTAAATAGACAGAAGGTCAGAACTACCGGCGCAAACCTTCAAACATAGAACTGAAGAGATGTTTTTATAGATCAAGATATTTTTCCTTTAGGTTTTTCTGTCAGCCAACCATTAAAGCACGCCGTGCATCCAGTAGCAACAAACAGAATTCACTCTCCGTTTTGAGTCGGAACATAAAAATCACGAATAACACAAATCTGCGCCTCATATTTGTAATTAACTAACCTCTAAGTTGACCAGAACGTGATGTTCAATACATCAGACGCCCCACTCTGATGTTCTCTATTTCATAAAAGAACCTCAAACCTGATTATTAGAGGTTTTTTCCAAACCCTGTCACATGTTCATATGAAGCCATTTGCTTGATGCCATTTTTTGTTGTTGTATAAAACAACTAATGACCTTGATCTTCTTAAGATGATCTATAAACTGTTTAGTCCTGTTGTGCTTCTCGTTTCTTAGCCTTTGCTCAAGCAGCTCGGCCCTTTTTAATCTGTAAAACTTTTATTTATGCCACGTGAAAACGGAAACAATAAACAAGAGGCGGCTTCTGTGTCATATTAAAAACATTTTATGTCTTTGACAAGTTGTACAAAAACTTTTCTTTTCTTTTCTTCGCACTGTTTGTCCTTACCTCTTTCTGCTTCCCAGTGAATCTGACTCTCCTCGTGTCGTTTGTATCAAACACCTAGATTAAAAAAAACAACAAGATTACGAGCTGGAAAAGGCTAACAGATACAGTCTAAATGCATGAGACATTATTTCAAACAAAACGCCGTAAAAACCTTTTGTTGTTATTAAACTGGACAATAACTTGCGCCATTGATTGATCGTTTGTCCGATAATGGAACACCAATGTTTGGTTTAGCTAAGGTTAGCTAAGAGTATCATCATTAGCAAAGCAGTAACAAAAGGACTTGAAGTCGTACCTGGCCTGTGTGAGTTATAGGTTCCCCGGTACTTGAAACCTCTATACTGTAGCGGTGAACCGGTGCCGCAATAAACCTCAAAGGTGAAACCAGCTCCTTAACATTTCTACTGAAGGACAGAGCTCTTCCTACAGCAGCCGCCATGTTTACAACAGCCTGACCACGAACAGCTAGATGGAATTATAATCCCCGAACCTTGTCTGTTAGGATAGCGCTCACTCGACGATTGTGTGGCAGCCCAAACAAAGTACTGTGTAACTTTTAATAAATATAATTATTAAATATAACAAAATAGTCTTCGGAGATATAAAAATATAATCTGAAAGTACAGATACAATCAACTGTTTTCTAAACCAGTTAGGGGTGCGTCTGCCTGAGAGTCTAAACTGAGGACAAAATAACACAATATACCGGAAGTTAAAATCTCTCGCCCCGGAAGTTGTTCTTTTAGCCTGAAAGATTGATGTAACTTCTCGGTCACGTCACAAATTAAACGCTTTATTCTGGGATAGAGCGCCTGCTTTGAATATTCCAGAAACATTTGGAAGGTTTGGTGCCATTTTTAACTTCATGATAGGGCCGTTGTTTGCCTCGGGACTAATGTTTGAGCCGTTTTAATCTCCCGAGTTTAGCGCTAGCATGCGTGTCGCCGTGATGTGACATGGATGTTTGACGTGTGTTTAAAGTTCAGGATGTACAAGTTGTGATTATACCCGTGTGTTTAGTGCAATGAACGGCTGCGAGGTTTAATTTGAAGACAAGTGGATCCTAATGTGAGGTGGAGTTTGAACATGTGGTCTTCGATACGAACATGACTCAGTTTTCCCACTTTTAGCAAACTAATCCAGAGTTTTACTAAATGCACTATGGCGTTTTATTTTTATATTTATATTTTTCAGTTGATAGCTGGATGAATGTACTTTTAATAATCCCATCCTGTTTTTTTTTTATTTTCCTTTGCAGCAATACAATTAAAAGAACTGAAAGGATGCAAATCAAACTTCACTGCAAAATATAAAAAATAAATTAAACTTAAAGAATGACCTAAACTGTGTAAAGCAGGCGACGACTGCAGTCTGATGTGGCAGGTTCACTTGATTGCAGACGTTAATTATAAACATGTACCGTTTTCTTTCCAGACTCAGACATCATGGCCTCCGTCTTGCTGAAGCACTTGGCTGCATCCCTGACTCTACGAGCGGCGCAGCTGAGTCGAGCTCCCGTCTTCTCCGCGCCATCAGGAAGTGTGTCCAGATGTGTGTGCACGCTCACTGCCCATCGCTCGCTTCTGTCAGCACCTAGGGTCACCTCGTTGGCACCCGCTCACCTCGATTCGTCTCTTCTGGGTCAGTGTCGGTCTCTTCCCTGCATCCAGCTCACTGTGGGAATGAAAGTAAAGGTGTCCCTGAAGAAGCGCTGCAGCGGCTGTTACTTTGTTCGAAGGAGGGGATGCTTGCACGTGTACTGCAAGAAGCATCCCAGACACAAGCAGAAGCAGGGCTGAGCTGTGGGGGGGTTGAGACGCAGGCTTTGAGATTGTGGGTATTTACTAAAACTGTGCTCATAATAAATTACCTGCTGTACTGAGTTTGTAGTTTTCACCTCCTTTCTTTTTGCTGGTTACTTAAAACACACATGTGACAGTAAATAACACAAAACTAAACTTTTTTTGGGGGGGTGGGGATGTATGATGAACACAGTTGAACTTTTAATAAAAAAAAAACAAGTAGGGTGAATTCAGCTGGAATGGGTCAGTTTGGTCAATTTGAAAAACAAAAGTACCACTGCAGAAAAAGCAGCGGTACTTTTGCTCATTCGGTTCTATCAAAATGTTTTTGAAAAAAAGTAAAGTTTGGGAATTACAAATTAACGTAGTGCAAAGTGTCGTCCTTAGCAACGGCAGCAAAATGTTCCAGTGCCGGTAAATTTGTCCCAACATTAAAAAAAAACCCTGATTTCAGCCGAAGTTTCCTAGTTTTAGCTTCGTTCACCGGCTGCAGAAATCACTGCTTAAATTGACCACTGCGCGTGTAATTCAAAGCTGAATAAAAATTCTGTTGGAAACAAACTTTAACACTTCATAGCGTGCGATATTTTCTTGAGCGCTTGCGTCTATACAAAGCTACACAATCACAAATGTTTTGGTCGAACCATAACAAATATGTTGGGTGCTCTCCAGATGTTCTGCAAACTGTTCGCACTCAGAAAGTGTCTGAGCTACCGCACCAAGATTTAGCTCAGAATCTGTAAAAATCAAGTTGTGGTGGCCATCTTAAACTGGGTTCTCTCCAAAGGTTAATCAGTTGATGCATCCCAATTACTTTATTAACAGCAGACACAAACTCAGGAAGTTGCCATGTTTGGTGGCTGGTGATGAACTGTTTTGTTTCATCACCCTTGGATAAATTTGTTATGCCAGGCTCAGTGTCCATGCTTTGCTCTGCAACAAGCTCTGCACCACTTAACCTACGAAACCAAAGTGCTGCCCAATCAGAACTGTTGTTAAACATCAACCAGGGTTGTGACAAGCATCAAGTTTAAGTGTGTAGCTGTAAAAATGAAAGAGATCTGAGGCCCATGCTGTCCATTTTACTTGAATTTATACAAAACATTTAATTTTATTCAGGAAGACAGCCAACTCTGAGAATATTTAAAAAAAAAACAACTGCCTTTAAAAGTTTTAACATGAAAAAAAAAAAAATCAACAAACGTTTTTGAATCGTTTCGGGATGTAATGTTTTCTTCCGCCACAAGAGGGCGCCAAAGTTTCCCCTAAACCATCAAGACTTTCTCTGACTCCTTTTCCTGCCTTAGACACTAAATCATTCTAAAAGTTTATAGCAACATTTACTGTCATTGTTAAAAAATAAATAAATAAAGCACAACGCACACAGCTGCACTGACTCCAGCGACTGGCAGCTAGTGAAAAGATGTTTGGCAACAAACACTGAGGCTGCAGCTGACTGCTTTGCTAAGGGTTTGGGAGTTTATGTTTCACCTGGCAACTTGAGAAATGTGAAACAGGCTAATGTGACATAATGGCTGATCCCAGCAGTGGGCCTGTGAGAAAGTTTTAATGCACAGTGGAGCTGATGAACCGATCCGCTGTGCGATTCAGTGACGGTCAGCCTCTGTGGCTTCGAAGCATCTTGAAGTTTGTTTATGTGGACAGTTACTGCCATCAAGAAACTATCAGCAGAAAGAAGAAGGTGGATCAAACGTGACTTCAGATACTCGCTGCTCTTCCTCCAGTTATCCAGAACACAAAGCCTGTGAAGTTCATGGTTTTTTTATTTTTATTTTCAAGCATCCATTAATTTAGTTAAGAAATGTGTAGTTCTTTAGTCAAATGTTAATGTTTATTCTGTCATTTATGTTTATTCTACCAAAAGTAAAAAGAGCAACATTTTAGTCTGTGTGTGAGTTTATCTGTTAGCAAAATATATCATCAATGGCTTAAAGAAACTTTTTGAAAGTTAGGACTAAAAACACGTCAAGAACTGATTAACGTTAAATAATAAATAATGTCGAACTAATTCAAAATGGCCACCATGTGATTTTAGAAGACACAAAAGTAGATACAATTCTGTCAGTTTTAGAGAAACGTATTGAGATAAATGTTGGTGTAGCAACTGAGAGTCATCTCCAAAACATAATCTGAGCTCTAACGGTTCAAACAAAAACTTTATTAAAACTTTGGTTAACTTTGGCAGTTGGCCTCCATTGCTCCTTTTATATGAAAACTGTTTATAAATAACCCCAAACATCCACAAAAGAAGCAAAAAGAAACTGACAATTAACATTAAAACAAACATTCTTTTGTTAAAACAAACAAATAAACAACAACGAAAACTGACCAACGACATCTAACACCATAGATGTCCTTCTCTTGCTGAGCAGAGCTGTCATCAGATTTACATGTATTTCAGAAAGCTACATTTAGCTTTTAGCTACTGCATTATTTAGCTAATTTTAGTTTTTTTTTTTTTTTTTTTACTGTTTTTGCCTTTAGCTACATATTTGGCTAATTGTACTTTGTAGCTTAAAGCTTCAGCTTTGCTGTTTTTAGTTTTTTGCTACCATTTAGCTAATTCTAGCTTTTTGTGACTGTTTTCTTATTTATAGCTTAACACATATTTAGCTCTTTTTAGCTTTTAGATACTATACTGATAATTTTAGCTTTGACTAAGTTTTGCTTTTAGCTGTTGTTTTTCTAATTTTAAATAGTTACCATTTTGCTTCTTTTAGACTTTTGTTTTTGTAGCTAAATTTAGTTTTTAGATCTTGTTTTGCTAAGTTGTAGCTTTATTTATTTATGTTTGCTTTTAGCTACTCCTTTGCTAATTTAAGCTTTTAGTGATCATTTAGCCATTTTTGACATTTATTGTTTTGTTAATTTTAACTTTGAATAAATTTTGCTTTCAGGTACTGTGTCATCTTTCTTTCTTTAGCAATAGTTTTGCTACTTGTAGCTTTTAGCCTATGTTTTGGTCAATGTAGCTTTAAGCTATGGTTATGTTCTTATTAGCTTTTAGCTACTGTTTTGATGCTTTTCTCCTTATTTAAACTAGCAATCTATTTTTATGTCTTTAACTGAAATTTTAAAGAACATTTTATTTATCTTATCAGGGGACTGCTGTAGCTCGGTGGTCAGGCGGTCTTGTGACCCCGCAGGTTGCGGGTTCGAGCCCAGGCCGCGTCAGGAAGTACATCCGGCGTTAAACAATTGTCAGATATTTCATGCAAGTTTGCTCACTGTGACAAACCCTGAAGAGGGGAGCAGCCGGAAGAAGAAAGACAAACAAACATTTATCTTACCAGCAGTATTCATGTCTTATAAAACTCACGAGCTTCATTACGCAGACACTTTTGTTTTACTTTGAAATTTCTACACCGGAAGCCGTGACGCTACCTTTCTGTGTCCAACTTGACACGCGCGCAGATAGAAACCGCCCAAACCGCTTCAGTCGTCAGTTCAGGGAACACGCAGTCCTGGTGTGAGCGCGCAGCACAAGTTTTCTTCAGATCGTTCGCTCGTCACGATGAAGACCTCGGACAGTGACCCCCCAGCAGTGAAGAGGAACCCGTTCGTGCACGAGCTCCACTTCACCACGGCAGAGAAAGTAAAGGTAGGCGCGAACAGAGAAGTAATGACAACATGTGGAAACTTCCCTTCATCGTCCTCATTTATGTCCAAGTATGTGTGGCATGTTGTGCTGTCAGACATGTCCTGCTGCAGCTCACGCGCTGCTCAGGTGGGAGGAAACACCACCTGAGAGGAGCAACACCACCTGAGAGGAGCAACACCACCTGAGAGGAGCAACACCACCTGGCTGGACTCGTGCTGAAGCGAATTAAATGTAAATGGTCCACGTGAATAAAACCAGTTTTAGTATTTGATCCTCTGTTTGCTAAAAGCAGCGCGCTGGATCAGTTGGTAGAGCTGTTGCCTCAGCGAGAAGGTTGCTGGTTCAAATCCCTGCCAGGGACCTTTCTGGGTGGAGTTTGCATGTTCTCTCGTGCATGCGTGGGTTTCCTCCCACAGACCAAAAACATGCATGTTAGACTGATGGTAACTCGTCCCTAGGTGTGAGTGAGAGAGTGAATAGTTGTTTGTCTCTACGTCCCTGTGATGGATTGATGATCTGTCCAGGTGT